TTCATTGTGTATTATCAACTGCTAAAAACTATCTTATGTACATCATTATGTGGTCGTAATCAGTGCTACTAGAAAAAATGTATTCTAGTCGAAATGTCGAATTAAATTTCAGTATTTGATCTCGGAAATGGAGCATAATTTCAAATACGCAGATGCATACGAGAAAGAAGTTTATCAGCGATACGTCGACAAGTGTAAAGTGTTTTATGCAGGCTCTACCATGGTGATTTTCTTCACTGGGATTGTATTAATAATAACGCCGTTGATTATGCCAGATCAGATCTTACCTATAGAAGCAAAATACCCTTTTGACGTGAAACATGAACCAATGAAAACTATTGTCTTTCTGCATCAAACCATCGTTATTTGTCAGGCTTTTTCGAATGTTTGTCACTGTTCTCTTATCGGTCTTTTTATATGGTTTACTACGGCTCGTTTCGAAATCTTGTCGCATCAATTTCGAAGGGTCACCGGTATTTACGATATCATCGCAGGTATACGACAACATATAAAACTGTTAAGGTAATAAAACAATGTTTTTCTGTTCTATTTCAACATCCTTGATCTTTATATTTAATTATTTTTATTAAGTATAAAAGCTTTTATAAGACATATAAAAATTTATCCTTTTTTACTAATTCTTATTTAAGTCATTTAAATAAACAAACCAAATAAAAAATGAACGCGTGTGCACAATTTATAAGAAATAATATGTAAACCATAAATTATATATATATGAATAATATATTTTTCGTATAAGTGACACTTTTTTGTCGTAATTAATTTATAATATTAACTTTTTTGATGAATTCGATTAACTTGTTGATCTTAATATTATTCTAAAATTTTTTTTGTTATTACTAGAGCACAAATGTTGCGCACGCAATATATGAATCGCTGTGGTACAATAAGGACGCAACTTTTCAAAGAAGTCTATTGTTTATTTTGTTCAGAAGCCAAATACCAGTAGTCGTCTCAGTTTCCTCTATGTTACCAGTTTTATCATTAAATTATTATGCTTCGGTAAAATCTCAACAACTAAAATATTGTCCTTACACAATTTATATAATATGAAAAGATTTTAATAATATGGGAAGATTTTAATAACTTTAATTCAATAACTTATTTTTATATTTTGTTAAATAATAGACTTTCCAGTAAATTAGGTAAAACTGCATAAAAGATAACACACCTCCGATTTAATCGCCACTTAAATATGTTATAGGGGAGGTTTTTCTGAGTAATTCCCCCCAAGAAATAAGTGGGAGATGACATTGGTTTAGGTTTAGGAGATATAACAAATTGAAGTTTCACACTTTTAATGCTTTTTCTCAGGTATTATAAAATAATATTAGGAAAAGTGAAGTTTGTGTACGTTGTATTTGTTAGAGCAGATGAAAAGTTTGTATTTGATAGAGCAGACGAAAAAGTATTTATTTACATTTACTGAATAGATACACAGTCATGGATATTTTATCAATAATGTGTTTCATTATTTCTCGCAGTTCATTAACAGCTTTTAACATGTGACTATATGAATCTCTAATTGTAAGTCATGTCTCTAAAAATATTATTTATTGAATACATTGGCGGGGGGAGGGCGGAACTCCTCTTCCTGCACCCCCAACCCAAAAGAATTATTTTTTTTCCAACCCAACTTTACTTTTAAAACTGAAAATAGGTTTGGATTAGATTATATCTTCCGGAAGTGGAGCCCCTCCGTAGAGAGGGCGGAACCCACTGTGACCACGCATATACTTTACAACGCGAAGCGAGGTACTCCATAATTGTTGTGTGGATGGGAAAGTATCTGCGTGGACGCAGTAGGTTTCGCTCCCCCGTAGAGGAGGCTCCACTTCCGGAAGATATAACTTAATCCAAACCTATTTCTGATTTAAAACTAAAATTTATTATTAACTTATTCTTACTTTCAACAAGACTTAGAAATTCGTATAGTTGCATGTTGAAAGCTTTTAACGAATTGCGAGAAACAAGTGAAACACATTATTGACAAAGTATCCATGAGTGTATACCTCTCCCGTAAATGTAAATAAACACTTTTTTCACGTCTGCTCTACACAAATACAACGTAAACAAACTTTATTTTTCCTTATTTTATAATAGAAGAAACATTAAAACTATGAAACTTTAATTTGTTATACCTCCTAAACTAATGCCGTCTCCCACAAATTTCTTGCAGGAAATTACTCAAAAGAACCTCCCCTACAACATATTTAAGTAGCAATAAAATCGGAGGTGTGTTACCTTTTATAGAATTTTACAAATTAGAAACAAAAATTAATATGTACAGATATATTACGTTTTCTTAAAACTATTTCAAAAATATATAAATATTATTTTAAGTCATAAATCTTTGACAATTTTTGTAAAAAATTTTATTGTTATTCATATATCTTCCATATTAAAGCGAAAAAATACTAATGTTCTTATTTTGTATATTTCAGTACGTATCAACAGCTTTCTCTTATTTAATGACATTGCGAGTAATATTTATACAACCGAAAAATTAAAAAATAAATCTTCTTAATTTACATGGATTGCTCCAAATTCTATAGAGAGATCACTATATTTTTTTCATTGGAAAGCGTTTTAACATTAGTAAAAGCAAATATGTATTTATATCTTTATTAGTGAAGATTAATTTCTCAGAAATATATGTCTTAGAAATAAAAAAGTTTTGTATATATCAATTGCCTGTTTTGTAGCCTCTTCAAATTTAAAAACATGAGACAGATTTAATATTATGGTTTATGCAAATATAATACATATGGGAAGAATATAAGATAATCTAAAGTTAATTTTAACTTTAGATACGAGCTGTGTTAAAAATATAGACGTCCGTGCTGTATAAAAGTATATCTCTGTATTATTATCCGATTGTAAAATTATTCATTTTATTCTTTATTCAGATTTTTTTCAACCAAAGTTTACTGACTAATAGAATAGAAATTCAGATCTCCTCGTATGATACCCAAAAAATGCAGTCCATAATCCAGTGTTTAGTAATCTCGTATTAACAAGTTATCATAAACAAATAATATTTTTGAAAATAGTTTTGAAAAGTTTTTTTTTAATGCATTTATTAGACATTATATATCAGTTGCAAAAATAAATAAATCAATTATTAAACTTCATTAAATATAAGTTTTATACCTTGTGATGATATAATCATATTTATCTTGCAGATAAATATAATACTTCTGCGCAAGTATAATGCAAAAATTGATACCGACGCAATTCATATTTCTTTACTTGTATCAGTAACAGATTTAATGTTCGCGGATATGTTTTAATCTACAATGGATTAGTCAAAAGATTCTAAACGTTACTTCGTAATCAATTGCAGTATCTTCCCATAAACTGTTTTCGCCTGAAAATAATGATATATTTAGTTTACAGTCTAACAATAAATAAATTATTTTTAGTTTATTTCTTTTTACTCTCTCTTTCTCTCTCTCTCTATGTAAAACAAAAAGATAAAATTGTTATTTATAACAATAAAGAATGGTCAATTCTTTTAAAGTCTAAATACAAATCAATTTTTTAAATACCTACAAATATTAAATAGTAGATATCCACTTCAAATTTTCCTTAATGTATTTCTTAAAATAATTCACTTTTTTATTCACATTTTATCTAAAAACAATGCTATTGTTATACCACATTAATGCTTAGTAAATAGAATTTATTCATAGACAATTGCCATTGCGGAAGAATCAACTTCGCGTTTATCATTTTTTGTAACATTAATTTATTACTCATTAATTATCAAGATATGTTTAAAAAAAACAACTCTAAAATATAAAATATGTCACTACTGTCTCTCATACTTCGGCGAAACTTTCATGTGTTCTCTTGTTCTCTGATATGTATAAATTAATACTGCATTTTATTTTTTTTCTTGTAATGTATAAAACCTAATCCACTATGGAAATAGTCTATAGAAATGATATGTGATTGTTGCAATTGATAACATACGCAATTGTCTCGATATTATAATGCAACTTATAAAAGCAAATAATCGCAATATAACTGCACACAAATATCCAGGTGCATGTTATTTGCAATGATCTATATAATAACTTATTATTTCCTTTATACTTTCAAATAAGCTAGTGTATTATATCGGTGTGGAGGGGAAACGAATAGTGCAGAAGTCTTGCATTGCACGTGCGCGCATAATCATAGC